ATAAAACTCTCAATGGTTTAAAGATAGAAAAGGTTAAATTTTTAAAGAACTTGATTATTTGGAATATAAACACAAGACGGTAATAATCCAGAAAGGATAAGTCGAGAAAATGCAAAAATGTCAGAAGAAAACAAAAAAAGGATTCAAAATAATGTCTCTAATAATCATCATTTCAAAGAGTACTCGTTGCAGGATTTTTTAGCACTTTAGAATAGGACATAACATTTTGGCCAAGCTCCTCGAGCTGACATAACCCCTCGTGCAGAGTGACTTCAATAACGATTTTGAGATGACTTCATCATATCAGCTTCTTATAAGTTTTTATAACACTGGAGTGTTTGACCTGGTGCTCTAGATAAGTGTTAACACCATTTTCTCGAAAGATGATTCGATCACCTTGGACCATTCAATTTAGGAACCAAGTAATCAAGTTCAATGTTCATCTGATGACCCTCCAAGTCATCAGGGAAATCAACAAACAATCTGATTATGTCACTATTTTTCCGATTTTTAGAATTACCTGGAAGGCAACTCATCCCTAGCGACGTTGAAATTAATTGTGTGATGAAAAAGTCGATTAGATGGTAATTTTCCCTTTTGACTTCGGTATCAAAGTCTACGTGGTTCTTGAATAGCCCACGTTGTGTTAGAAAGGATGTTCTTGATTGTGATTAAAGCTAGAATAATGTGTGTGGTGTTTTATTGGTCATTCTTTTTAATTAACAGTTCCTTAATTCTGACCAATAATTTCTTGTCTTCTTCTTAGTTTAGGATTTCTGTTCTTTTGGCTGTTCTATTAGATCTGCGGGACTTTATCTCTCCCGTTCTTAGTTTTTGCTTTGTTCTCTGTACGTCTGCGAACATCGCCTTGTATATTATGACTTTACTCTCTACTAGTGATGGAACGGATAGTGATTTTGCGAAAATCCGGATATCGGATATTCGGCATCCCCTTCGGCCGGATATCCGGTTATCTGGCATATCTATCCAGCCATTATGGTTATAATTTCTGGTGCATTTCTGAAGTGATACCCTATATTGCCACATTATTGCGATATTTGAATAAAAATGAAATTAATAAGAAAGCTTATTTGGATCCAAGATACAAAATAAACTTTTTTGATGCTGATTTAACTAACCAAGCAACTCTAAAAAAAGGATACTTTAATTAATAATTGGCGATATTTCCATAAGGATCCTAATTTTATAGCGAATTTTGAAAATTAGCGATGAAAATTACAACATTGAAAATTTTATCAAAACTTTATTTGTTTTCTCAAAAACTAAAAGTTATTTTTCAAAACGGGTTGGTTCATTGGAAAGAGGACACTTTTATTAACACTTTGGGGAATTTTTATATTCATATTCCAAGAAATCGATTTAATACGAATTTTTAAAACTTAATCTGCGAAAACTGCAAAATTCGAAAAAATTTTCGATTATTTCAAAAATTTATTTCTCAAGAACTAAAAGTGATTTTTCAAAACGGCTTTTTGTATTAAAAAGAGGAGGCTTTAATTAATGAATGGTGATATTTCCACAAGGATCCTTCAAGAAATTAATTTTATAGCGAATTTTGAAAATTATCGATGAAAATTGCAACATCGAAAATTTTATCAAAACTTCAAATATTGTTTTCTCAAAAACTAAAAGTTATTTTTCAAAACGGGTTGGTTCATTGGAAAGAGGACACTTTTATTAACACTTTGGGAAATTTTCATACTCATATTCCAAGAAATGGATTTTATACGAATTTTTAAAACTTAATCGGCGAAAATTGCAAAATTCGAAAAAATTGTCGATTATTTCAAAAATTTATTTCTCAAGAACTAAAAGTGATTTTTCAAAACGGCTTTTTGCATTAAAAAGAGGATACTTTAATTAATAATTGGTGATATTTCCACAAGGATCCTTCAAGAAATTAATTTTATAGCGAATTTTGAAAATTATCGATGAAAATTGCAACATCGAAAATTTTATCAAAACTTCAAATATTGTTTTCTCAAAAACTAAAAGTTATTTTTCAAAACGGGTTGGTTCATTGGAAAGAGGACACTTTTATTAACACTTTGGGAAATTTTCATACTCATATTCCAAGAAATGGATTTTATACGAATTTTTAAAACTTAATCGGCGAAAATTGCAAAATTCGAAAAAATTGTCGATCATTTCAAAAATTTATTTCTCAAGAACTAAAAGTGATTTTTCAAAACGGCTTTTTGCATTAAAAAGAGGATACTTTAATTAATAATTGGTGATATTTCCACAAGGATCCTTCAAGAAATTAATTTTATAGCGAATTTTGAAAATTATCGATGAAAATTGCAACATCGAAAATTTTATCAAAACTTCAAATATTGTTTTCTCAAAAACTAAAAGTTATTTTTCAAAACGGGTTGGTTCATTGGAAAGAGGACACTTTTATTAACACTTTGGGAAATTTTCATACTCATATTCCAAGAAATGGATTTTATACGAATTTTTAAAACTTAATCGGCGAAAATTGCAAAATTCGAAAAAATTGTCGATCATTTCAAAAATTTATTTCTCAAGAACTAAAAGTGATTTTTCAAAACGGCTTTTTGCATTAAAAAGAGGATACTTTAATTAATAATTGGTGATATTTCCACAAGGATCCTTCAAGAAATTAATTTTATAGCGAATTTTGAAAATTATCGATGAAAATTGCAACATCGAAAATTTTATCAAAACTTCAAATATTGTTTTCTCAAAAACTAAAAGTTATTTTTCAAAACGGGTTGGTTCATTGGAAAGAGGACACTTTTATTAACACTTTGGGAAATTTTCATACTCATATTCCAAGAAATGGATTTTATACGAATTTTTAAAACTTAATCGGCGAAAATTGCAAAATTCGAAAAAATTGTCGATCATTTCAAAAATTTATTTCTCAAGAACTAAAAGTGATTTTTCAAAACGGCTTTTTGCATTAAAAAGAGGATACTTTAATTAATAATTGGTGATATTTCCACAAGGATCCTTCAAGAAATTAATTTTATAGCGAATTTTGAAAATTATCGATGAAAATTGCAACATCGAAAATTTTATCAAAACTTCAAATATTGTTTTCTCAAAAACTAAAAGTTATTTTTCAAAACGGGTTGGTTCATTGGAAAGAGGACACTTTTATTAACACTTTGGGAAATTTTCATACTCATATTCCAAGAAATGGATTTTATACGAATTTTTAAAACTTAATCGGCGAAAATTGCAAAATTCGAAAAAATTGTCGATCATTTCAAAAATTTATTTCTCAAGAACTAAAAGTGATTTTTCAAAACGGCTTTTTGCATTAAAAAGAGGATACTTTAATTAATAATTGGTGATATTTCCACAAGAATCCTTCAAGAAATTAATTTTATAGCGAATTTTGAAAATTATCGATGAAAATTGCAACATCTAAAATTTTATCAAAACTTCAAATATTGTTTTCTCAAAAACTAAAAGTTATTTTTCAAAACGGGTTGGTTCATTGGAAAGAGGACACTTTCATTAACACTTTGGGAAATTTAGATACTTTAATTAATAATCGAAAGTGATAACAGCGACAGTTCTGTTAGTAATGAATGTGATGATGAACAAGCGAAGAGAAGAAAATTAGACGAAACTGCAACAAGAGATTTTATATATCGTATTGGGATTGTTACAATGAGGTTGCTAATGATAATAAAGTTGTATTAAATGAAAAAAGTCCTATTTGAGTTGAACTTGATTGTTATCTATAGTGTCCAATACCTAGAAGAGATACTACTTCTCTTCTTTCTCATCTTTAATACTTGTATTGTTACCAGGTAGTTGAAGATTTTGCCAACTCCAGCTTGCATCTTAGACTCCCTAGATGTCACTAATGTTCTGATCATTTCTGTTAAATCCTCATATTGTATTGTTTTGATGTTTCGCAAAATTTTTGAAGGAGTCTTTTGAAACTATCTTCGTTTTCTGATGCAAATCTACTTACTAGAGTGTTACTTATCATTAACAAGATCACAATGACTTCATTATATAGATTAAAAGTTCTTGGCCTTGAATATATGTTATAGATATAGATTATATGACATCATACTAAAAATAACGTCAATGCCTTTTTAATTTTTTGCTAAATAAATTTGAAAAGTTGATTGTTTATTTATTTTCTTAATAGTTTTCAAGTAGTATTCTGTTTCTTGTTGAGAGTCCAAAGATCCCAGACGTCCGCAAAGTGACCTAATGATCAGCTTAACGAGGTACAAACCGACTAGACATGCCGTAAATTGGCTTTTTCCTTGAGCATCTCAGACCGCCTCGAACATATAACTAGTAAGAGACACACCCCGGGTTTTTTCGTCTCTGTGCCGACGACGACGACGTCTTAAAACGGTGCTTTCCCTTTGTGCCCCCTTTTGTAACACGAGGGTGTGTCGTAAAAATGGTTGACGGACGGGAAACGATGGGCGGGTAAAAGCAAGGGTAAAAGAATCAGAAACTTACTGTGTGCAGGTGAAATAGATTTATTTCGTTTTCACTTTGGGATTCCTAAGATTTTTTTTTTCATGCCGCTTTTGAACCACTTTTTTTAACCTTTAAGCAGTTTTTATTTAAGTTGTTGAGATGATTCATCTATGCCGTTAACCTATCGATACCTATCGTGTTGTTCTGCTTGTTTCAATCTTTTATTGGGTCACTTCGCGAACGTTCCGTTTCTAATTTACACCGTATACTTGGTCGTAAAGATCGGGTTTGCGAGTGACGTGTAAATAAACGGAAAACCACGTCTAAGTGGTATCTAAATAAATTCAGTTGAGGCGATTGTTAACGAAAACATGGATCAGATTTTCAAATGTTATAAATAGGTAAAGGAAGAAATTAAATATAATTAAGAAAAAAAAATAGAATCGATAAATTATCTGGCGAATATTAAAGTTTTGGGTTCAGAGTCGTAAAGATATCTCAGAATTTACGATTTTAATTTCGATAATTTATACGGTTTTTTTTTGTTTCAGGGTTTCCCGGAGGTTTCGTCTCGGTAAGTCACTTGCTTCTTTAGAGATGAGGCCCCTCATGGGCTCTCCTATACAAAGTTTATGATGATAAATAGAAAAAATCGTAAAAAACTATGCGAACAGGTTTTTCTAATAGGTTTAAACGTTGCGATTTTATTGGGTTTTTATTGATATTTTTATACTAGATAATCGACGATAATTGTCCAAATCAATTTATTTGTTTTTATTTCCGAAAAGTTACTTTTTAAATTTATTAATGAAAACAAATTTATTACATTTTTATTTTTATTATGTTTCATTAAAATATTCATTGTGCTTGTTATACTAACAGTTAGCATTTAAATTAAAAAACCACAAGAAACTAATTATGGATTATACTTTTATGGCTCATTAACAACAATTTTCATATAATATTAACAATTTTTATATATTATTTATTTTTTTATATGATACTTTAAAAATTAAAATCATTTATTTCNTTATTTATTTTTTTATATGATACTTTAAAAATTAAAATCATTCATTTCGATTTTATCGAGATTTATATCTTTAAAATCATCACATCTAAGAAGGATATTCTTATGGATTATGTCTTCTTGGTTCATTATAAACAATTTATATTTAACATATTTTTCTCTATCATCTTTAATCTTTGAGTTAAATTAATTTTAATAATGAAAATCGACAAATTTCATATCTTGAGATTTCTCAACTGCTAACTAACTTATGGATGTAATTAAACAAGATATGATTACGAATTATGCATTTTTGGTTCATTTTAAACAATTTATTTCAAATACATATTTCTCTATCATTTTTAGTTTTTGAGTTATAAATGATTTTACAATCAAATATGTAACAATTTTGATATTTTAGACCTTTCACTTCTCAGCTTGAATAGAATAATAATTTCACAAGATCTGGTTATGGATTATGTCTTCTTGGTTCATAATAAACAATTTATATTTAACATATTTTTCTCCATCATCTTTAATCTTTGAGTTAAATTGTCTTTTATAGTGAAAATCGACATATTTCATATCTTGAGATTTCTCACCTTCTAACTAACTTATGGATGTAATTAAACAATTTCTGATTATGGATAATGTATTTCCGATTCATTCTAAACAATTTATTTCTAATACATTTTTCTCCATCATTTTTAGTTTTTGAGTTATGAACGTTTTAATCCACGAATATGTAAAAATTTTGATATTTTGAGACTTCCTATATTTTAGCTTCTAACTAACTTATGGATGTAATTAAACAAGATATGATTATGAATTATGTATTTTTGGTTCATTCTAATCAATTTATTTCAAATACATTTTTCCCCATCATTTTTAGTTTTTGAGTTATAAATGATTTTACAATCAAATATGTAACAATTTTGATATTTTAAGACCTTTCACTTCTTAGCTTGCATATAATATTAATTTAACAAGATCTGGTTATGGATTATGTCCTTGTGGTTCATAATAAACAATTTATATTCAACATATTTTTCTCCATCATCTTCAATCTTTGAGTTATAATCTTTAATCTGTTATAGTGAAAATCGACATATTTCATATCTTGAGATTTCCCACTTTCTAACTAACTTATGGATGTAATTAAACAAGATCTAATTATGGATAATGTATTTTCGATTCATTTTAAACAATTTATCTCTAACACATTTTTCTCCATCATTTTTAGTTTTTGAGTTATGAACGATTTCATCAAAAAATGTGTAAAAATTTGGATATTTTGAGACCTTTCACTTCTCAGCTTGCATATAATATTAATTTAACAAGATGTTGTTATGGATTATGTCCTTGTGGTTCATAATAAACAATTTATGGTTAACATATTTTTCTCCATCATCTTAAATTTTTGAGTTAAACTTACTTTTATAGTGAAAATCAACATATTTCATATTTTGAGATTTCTCACCTTCTAACTAACTTATGGATGTAATTAAATAAGATATGATTATGGATAATGTATTTTCGATTCATTTTAAACAATTTATCTCTAACACATTTTTCTCCATCATTTTTAGTTTTTGAGTTATGAACGATTTCATCAAAAAATGTGTAAAAATTTGGATATTTTGAGACCTTTCACTTCTCAGCTTGCATATAATATTAATTTAACAATATCTGGTTATGGATTATGTCCTTATGGTTCATAATAAACAATTTATGATTAACATATTTTTCTCCATCATCTTTAATCTTTGAGTTAAACTTACTTTTATGGTGAAAATCAACATATTTCATATTTTGAGATTTCTCACCTTCTAACTAACTTATGGATGTAATTAAACAAGATATGATTATGAATTATGTATTTTCGGTTCATTTTAAACAATTTATTTCATATATATTTTTCTCCATAATTTTTAGTTTTTGAATTAATAACGATTTCATAAATGAATATGTAACAATTTTGATATTTTGAGACTTTCCACTTTTTATCTTAAATATGGTAATAGTTGAGCAAGATCTGGTTATGGATTATGTTTTTTTGATTAATAATAAACAATTTATGATTAATATATTTTTCTCCATCATCTTTAATCTTTGAGTTAAACTTACTTTTATAGTGAAAATCAACGTATTTCATATTTTGAGATTTCTCACCTTCTAACTAACTTATGGATGTAATTAAATAAGATATGATTATGGATTATGTATTTTCGATTCATTTTAAACAATTTATCTCTAACACATTTTCCTCCATCATTTTTAATTTTTGAGTTATGAACGATTTCATCAAAGAATGTGTTAAAATTTTGATATTTTGAGACCTTTCACTTCTCCGCTTGCATATAATATTAATTTAACAAGATGTTGTTATGGATTATGTCCTTGTGGTTCATAATAAACAATTTATGATTAACATATTTTTCTCCATCATCTTTAATCTTTGAGTTAAACTTACTTTTATGGTGAAAATCAACGTATTTCATATTTTGAGATTTCTCACCTTCTAACTAACTTATGGATGTAATTAAATAAGATATGATTATGGATTATGTATTTTCGATTCATTTTAAACAATTTATCTCTAACACATTTTTCTCCATCATTTTTAGTTTTTGAGTTATGAACGATTTCATCAAAAAATGTGTAAAAATTTTGATATTTTGAGACCTTTCACTTCTCAGATTGCATATAATATTAATTTAACAAGATGTTGTTATGGATTATGTCTTTATGGTTCATAATAAACAATTTATGATTAACATATTTTTCTCCATCATCTTTAATCTCTGAGTTAAATTGGCTTTTATAATGAAAATCGACATATTTCACATTTTGAAATTTCTCACCTTCTAACTAACTTATGGATGTAATTAAACAACATCTGATTATGGATAATGTATTTTTAATTCATTTTAAACAATTTACCTCTAACACATTTTCCTCTATCATTTTTAGTTTTTGAGTTATGAACGATTTCATCAAAAAATGTGTAAAAATTTTGATATTTTGAGACCTTTCACTTCTCAGCTTGCATATAATATTAATTTAACAAGATGTTGTTATGGATTATGACCTTGTGGTTCATAATAAACAATTTATGATTAACATATTTTTCTCCATCATCTTTAATCTTTGAGTTAAACTTACTTTTATAGTGAAAATCAACGTATTTCATATTTTGAGATTTCTCACCTTCTAACTAACTTTTGGATGTAACTAAATAAGATATGATTATGGATTATGTATTTTCGGTTCATTTTAAACAATTTATTTCATATACATTTTTCTCCATCATTTTTAGTTTTTGAATTAATAACGATTTCAAAAATGAATATGTAACAATTTTGATATTTTGAGACTTTCCACTTTTTATCTTAAATATATTAATAGTTGAGCAAGATCTGGTTATGGATTATGTTTTTTTGATTCATAATAAACAATTTATATTTAACATAATTTTCTCTATCATCTTTAATCTTTGAGTTAAATTGGATTTTATAATGAAAATCGACATATTTCATATTTTGAAATTTCTCACCTTCTAACTAACTTATGGATATAATTAAACAAGATATGATTATGGATTATGCATTTTTGGTTCATTTTAAACAATTTATTTCTAATATATTCTTAATTTTTGAGTTATAAATGATTTTACAATCAAATATATAACAATTTTGATATTTTACGACCTTTCGCTTCTCAGCTTGAATATAATAATAATTTAACAAGATCTGGTTATGGATTATGTCTTTTTGATTCATAATAAACAATTTATATTCAATATATTTTTCTCCATCATCTCTAATCTTTGAGTTATAATCTTTTAAAGTGAAAATCGACATATTTCATATCTTGAGATTTCTAACTAACTTATGGATGTAATTAAACAAGATATGGTTATGGATTATGTATTTTTGGTTCATTTTAAACAATTTATTCTTAATACATTTTTCCCCATCGCTTTTAGTTTTTGAATTATGAATGATTATATAATCAAATAAGTAACAATTTTGATACTTTGAGACTTTTCACTTCTCAACTTGATTATGTCAATTATTTAACAAAATCTGGTTATGGATTACGTTTTTCTGTTTCATAATAAACAATTTACATCTAACACATTTTTATCCATCATTTTTAGTTTTTGAGTTATGAATGATTTCATGTGTAACAATTTTGTAATTTTGAAAGGTCATAATAAACAAATTATGTCAAATTATTCCCAACTAATCCATTATTTCTCAAAAATGTTGAGTTTAAGAGACTCCAATTAGATTAAATTTGCTTTAGGATGTATTTTAGCTCATTCAGATATCTCAATTACTTTTTGAGATGTAACCTATCATATATCAAAAATTTGTTGATTTCATATCACAAAAATCAAAAACACCGTGCTTCAAGGTTGGAAACTCGATTGGGATAGAGAAAGATGAAAAATGAAAGATAACCGGTTTCGGTGCTAAACCATCTTCAGACGTGTATTTTTGAATTTTTTATTTAAAAAATTAAATTATTTTTGATAGATATTAAGTGATACAAATTATAGTTGGTGCATTACTAAATGTTTATTGAATCAAAAAAGAATTGTACACAAACTTGTATGTTTATGAAGGTCACGTTGTGCACTTTTAGTTTTGATTACGAGATGGCGCCACGCTGTCCACCACGGCCTTTTATGATTGAATCATCGCACTTCGTTTATGGTTGTTTCCCCAAATTCAGGAGTAATTTCAGTATTAACCTGAAACGGTTATTTTGAAGGCGTTTGATGATGGTTTTGTTGGTTTATGATGTTAGAGGTATTTTTTTTGAAGTTTTTTATTTTCCGACAACGTCGACGTCCGCGGTGTCGGCGTTTTCGGATCGAAAGTCGAGAAGCGTCGCGTGGCAGACGCTGAAACCGTCGCTTTGCGATTGGTCGGTTCGGCACCTGCTCGGATTGGCGGGACCGTGGTGGGGCGCCATAACCGCTTCTAGTGTCGCGGATAAGGCATAGAGGGCCATAGACTGCACATACATGGGTCATAAAGGATTCGAAGAAGTGGCTGTGCTCGGACCGGTACCATCGGAACGATCCTCCCGGGCCTAGAATCAAAAGAACGAATAATAAAAGGGAGTTCCGAGAATAAAAGGGTTGCGCGACACGTTTCCGTTTTTTTCGGGGTTTCAAATCTCGCCGGATACCAGTAGTAGTTTTTTTTGTTTAAATTAATTTTCGATCGAAAGATCTAATTATGACGCGGCGGTGTGCGGTGCAGTGAAAAAAGAGACCCCAAAGGGTGAGAGCATCAAGACCGCTGGGACTATGAGTTCCAAGTTTATCATCGATAGCATGCTCCCGAAGTACCATCAACAGTTCCAGCACCATAATCAACTTTTCCACAGTCCAACAACTACAACGGTTTCGTCGTTAGAAGCCGGATTAGCATCCGTCGTTAATTATTCTTCCTCAACTTCACCGAGTGGATCGTCACCACAACACAGCAACTCTTCGGCGTCTTCAACATCCCCAGCCTCAAGAATGTATCCGTACGTTTCAGCGGCTACGGCCGCTGCCCACCATCATCATCAACAACAAGCCGTTGCTGCAGCAGCTTTTGGCGCTGCAGCTACCGGAACGATGGTTCCGGGAGCTTTTTCTTCATCGGCAAGTACCGCAGCTTTAGCAGCCGCCGTAGATGCTGCAACTGCGGATAAATCCTGCAGGTATACAACTGGATTAACGGGAAACGTTGGCGCAACGGATTCTATGGTAAATTATGCTCTTGGACACCATCACCAGAATGGTGTTTCAGTATCCGCTGCGAGTTCAGTATCAGCCGCTTCAGCTTCTATGGCTGCTGCTGCACAATTTTATCATCAAGCAGCTAGTGCTGTTGTTGATCCATTAGGAACATCTTGTGCACAACCATCAGCTGGTGGTCAACCAATACCAGATATACCCAGATATCCATGGATGTCAATAACTGGTAAGTGTTGAGATTTGCCATTTATTTATTTAATTACTTTTTTTTTAATTAAATCGTTAAAACTTACATAAAAATAATAATAATTGTTTTTATTGGCCTATTTTTAATTATTATTAATAATTATAATAATCGTTAATGACCCGTAATAAACAATAATCGTATCGTTAATTTAATCGATCAATTAATTACTGTTAATTAACGATAAAATTAAATTTTATTTATTTAAAATACAAATAAATAAATTAAATTAAAATAAATTCTTATTTCCATGGAGATTTTTGATTATTGCCGACGGAAACGCGTGCCAAAGCGATACAAAATGGGTCTCCAAAGAGAGATTGCTGCCGATAGATTTTTAATGGCGTGTGTTTTTATTGCGGTCGTAACAATAAAAGCTGGCCGTAAAAACAACAATGAACATAAGGTCGAGTTTTTTTTTCAACAACTACCGAAAAGGCTCCCTTTTTAAATAATCAACAAAACAAATTTATTGTAACAAAATCGATATAATATACATTAATACAATTACCTAATGATTTCTCGGATTAACTTTTTTGTTTTGATTAATTCATTTTTTTGTAACGACCTGTATATGGAAATTAAATGGATTTTAATTCATAATGGAAAATTAAAAAGGTTATTTTCTTTTACGTAAACGTCCAATAAAAAACATTAAGTGAAATGTAAATGTTTAATGTTAATTAAAGTGATATAAACAAGTAAAATCTATTAAACACTTTTTTTTTTTTAATTTTTTTTAATTTATAGGATTCTTTGTGTGAACATACATGATTATTTTTTAATTTTTTTTAATTTATAGGATTCTTTGTGTGAACATACATGATTATTTTTTAATTTCTCTCACTGGTTTTGCAGATTGGATGAGCCCTTTCGACCGTGTGGTATGCGGTGAGTACAATGGTACATATTAATTTTTATTTTATTTATTTACCACTTAAGTTTTTTAGTTTTACCATTTAAAGAAATAATGTGGATTATAGAAATCACCCCATTTAAAAAATTAACTTAAGAAAACGATTTCTCTTCGGAGAAATCTCCAACCCTTTTATATTTATCTCGAATTGTGAAAGTTTTTTTGCAAACCCACCTTTTCTAACCCTTTCAAAAAACCTTTTTTCGCAATTTTTTACGCTTTTATTTCTTAAAAGCACTTTAAAAAAGGGGAAAAATAAATAAAAGCTCGTTTTTAGAAAGTTACCATCTCGATGTGGGTCTCTCTTTTTCACTACCCACGGCGATGAGAAGAGTTCAGCGACACTTCTTCTCTTTCTGAATGCATTTTATGTAGGCTCAAGGTCGTCTTTATTATTAGTACCCAACCGAATGAAAATGTTAGATGAAACAGAGTTAAATTCTTTTATATCATACAACAAGAGTTAGTAACAAAATCAAAGAGTATGTATAGATCAAATTTTTTATTGAATTTACCGATTATAAATCGGATTTGAGACATTTTTCGATTAAATCAAAAATTGCTTTTAACGTACTATTCACAGGGAAATTCTTTTATAGGAGTATACAGCGCCTCCTATCGAGAATTATAAATTTTTTATTGAATTTATCGATTATAAATGAGATTTTAAGAAAGTATTGTACGAAACATTTTTCGATTAAATCAAAAATTGCTTTTAACGTACTATTCACAGGGAAATTCTTTTATAGGAGTATACAGCGCCTCCTATCGAGAATAACAAAAAATTGTTTTAACAAAAATTATTGCTGATTTAATTTTAAATAAATATTATTCGAAAAACTTTTCGATACTAAGCATAATTATTAAGATAACCTCAAAAATTTAATTTTTTATACCAGTATGGAGCGCCACCTAGTGAATATATCAATTTTTTTATTAAAATTATCGATTATAAATGTGATTTTAAGAAAGTGTTGTACGAAACATTTTTCCATTAAATCAAAAATTGCTTTTAACGTACTATTCACAGGGAAATTCTTGTATAAGAGTACACAGCGCCTCCTATCGAGAATTACAAAAAAATGTTTTAACAAAAATTATTGTTGATTTAATTTTAAATAAATATTATTCGAAAAACTTTTCGATACAAAACACAATTATTAAGTTAACCTCAAAAATTTAATTTTTTATATCAGTATGGAGCGCCACCTAGCAAATATATCAACATTTTTATTAAAATTATCGGTAATAAAACATATTTTAAGTAAAAATCATACCAAACATTTTTTGATTAAACCAATAATTCTTTGATTGAGTTGTACTATTCATAGGGAAATTAAAATGATTTAACATATTTAGTTATTACCCACTACTGAGGTTTCTATTTTCAATATATATATCGTGAAAACTAAAACCAAGTTATATATTAGCAGCTCGTAGTCACATGGCGTAGTTCTGGAGAAATAAACTCTAAAAACTTTTTAATTTCTACCACTTCTTTGCCTCATTTAATAAACCGTAGAGATAAAAGAAATTTACTACCACACTTTTTGCTGCTTCATTAACTTGGTCTTAATTTACAATTTTTCTGCCACTTCATTTTTATTTTCTGGATTATGCTGGTTTGCTTCAAGAATACATCAGGCTAAAATTACTTCTTGCTAATATTTGGTGTTTTCCCAACCAATGCATTGATGATACTTTTGATGCTTCAGATATCATTGAATATTCATCGAGGTCATCTGCGTTTGCAAAATTTAAACAAATTAAATAAGTTGTTGTTTAAACCAAGATTTGTATCAACGAGAAGTAGCAATTTTTGAGAAGGCGAGAAATTTAAAATTATAATTGGAAAGAATTTGTCTAAACTTATTTGGTATCAAAAAGTAAACTAAAAACATCCAGGTTTTGAACTGCATTGATTTCTGATTCATTGAGGATGGTATAAATTGATGATTAAATTACAAAGATCTTTATACTTGCCATAACCTGTGTTTCCAAGAGTTGGTTTCTGAAATTGTTATTTCCAGCTTAAATAAGTAGATGAGAAAACTTAACAAATCATGGAATGATTTCAACATGAGTAAGCTAAGTCTCTACAACTACCATGTCTTCAAATTCTATGTGTTGTTGCAGTTAAACCAACTTAAGATATTTGAAATTTCTGGAATTTATATGTTATGTATGCAATAATTTTGGAATCGGTCTTAGAAAACACCAAAAATGATATGGCACAAAATTGTGCCATAAAAACATATATTTCCAAATTACATCCATGTTCTTTTTTTTTGTAAAAAATTTAATTTATTGTTTCTTCGATAACCGCTTCCATTATAAGTAATATACGAGCGTTGTTCCATTTAGTTGGAGCCCCCGTTATGGTTATTCAATCGGTCCCATTAACGTTCAAGATCTCGTTATCTCCACGTTTGGAATTCACATTACTTTACGGTTTCTTATATCGAGTTCTTGTTATTAAGTTGATTTACCGAAAGCAATTATTGTAATTTATTTTCTTTAATTTATTAATTTTATCAATCTTTGCCATTTAAACCCGATTTATAAACACACAACGTTTTATTTAATGGACGTTGAAAAGCGGTGTTTGAAATAATTGCTTATTTTCTTTGTTATCCGAAAGGTCAAATCGGTTCGACCTTTTTGAGAGGGAATTAAAAAGAATAAGAAAAAGAAAATGTTGTGAAAGAAAAATAAAAAGTGGATGGAATAAAAAATGGAGAGCTTGAGTTGAGTCTCGATCGGACATAAATTTGGCACCCCCGCAGTTTTCCCTCCCGGGGCCCGGTCGCCCCCCTTTTCGCTCTTTGCCCTTCCCAGAGGCCTCAACGCTTGATTCATTCCCGGGAACCTGCCATGTTTCACGTCTATCTAAATTGGGATTTGTATCTACCTTCGCGTCCGTCTGTAATTTATACGAATCCCCGGAGTTTTTTTTTATTCTTCTCCTCCTCCAGAAGAAAGAGGATATCTTCCTTCCTTTTACTTGATTCTTTTTTGAAGTTTTAACCGTGCGCCATTCGAGATGGTTTATCCTTATTTTTTCTCTTTTATTAGTTGTTTACTGGCTTGGGGTATAATAAATCGAGATGAATCATTTTTTCGAATTATATTATGTTAAATTTGTTACTTTAATTAACAAAGTAACAATTTAAAGCGGAATTCTCGTACACAACATGGATATTTGTTGGTTTACGAGATCCTGTTTTCAATATCAACAATCGTCCCGTTCATAACATTTTAACAAGTAACTCTTGTTAAAATTTATTTTGATTGAGCTTTTATTAGTAAGTTAACGTTTATATATAAAATTCTTATTTATTATATCCTTGTAATTTATAAAATTAAACTGCTTTTTAGGTTGTAAATTTAACTCGCGGAATTGTTAATAATAAAAATAATAGGGGGCGGGAAAGAAAATAATGACCCCATAACTAACATTTAAGATCCTCGCAGTTTTCGTCGTTGCGGAGGTCGTGCAAACATTGTAAATTTGAAGTCCTGAAAATGGGCGAGATTACGCCAGCGCCGTCGACGTCGTCTTTTCCGACGGCAACGTCTCGAACTGCGCAATTTTCGTTATCGCGAAAAGCTTCTTTCGATCTTGAAAAAAATCAAACTAAAAAAAATTCGATGCAACTTTTTGTCGACTGTGTAATAAAAGCTCTTCGAAGGCTTTTCGAAATGGATGGTTTTGGTTCTATTTATTATATGTTATTAATATTATATGGCAAATTTTTCGATTAAATCAAAAATTGCTTTTAACGTACTATTCACAGGGAAATTCTTTTATAAGAGTACACAGCGCCTCCTATCGAGAATTATAACAAATTGTTTTAACAAAAATTATTGCTGATTTAATTCTAAATAAATATTATTCGAAAAACTTTTTGATACAAGACACAATTATTAAGATAACCTCAAAAATTTAATTTTTTATATCAGTATGGAGCGCCACCTAGTAAATATATCAATTTTTTTGTTGAATTTATCGATTATAAATGTGATTTTAAGAAAGTATTGTACGAAACATTTTTCGATTAAATCAAAAATTGCTTTTAACGTACTATTCACAGGGAAATTCTTGTATAAGAGTATACAGCGCCTCCTATCGAGAATTATAAAAAATTGTTTTAACAAAAATTATTACTGATTCAATTTTAAATAAATATTGTTCGAAAAATTTTTCGATACAAAATACAATTATTAAGATAACCTCAAAAATTTAATTTTTTATATCAGTATGGAGCGCCACCTAGTGAATATATCAATTTTTTTTATTAAAATAATCCATTATAAATCAGATTGTAAGAAAATATTGTACGAAACATTTTTAGATTAAATCAAAAATTGCTTTTAACGTACTATTCACAGGGAAATTCTTGTATAAGAGTATACAGCGCCCTCTATCGAGAATTATAAAAAATTGTTTTAACAAAGATTATTGCTGATTTAATTTTAAATAAATATTATTCGAAAAACTTTTCGATACTAAACATAATTGTTAAGATAACCTCAAAAATTTAATTTTTTATATCAGTATGGAGCGCCACCTAGTGAATATATCAAAATTTTTATTGAATTTATCGATTATAAATGTGATTTTAAGAAAGTATTGTACGAAACATTTTTCGATTAAATCAAAAATTGCTTTTAACGTACTATTCACAGGGAAATTCTTTTATAAGAGTATACAGCGCCTCCTATCGAGAATTATAAAAAATTGTTTTAACAAAGATTATTGCTGATTTAATTTTAAATAAATATTATTCGAAAAACTTTTCGATACTAAACATAATTGTTAAGATAACCTCAAAAATTTAATTTTTTATATCAGTATGGAGCGCCACCTATTAAATATATCAAAATTTTTATTGAATTTATCGATTATAAATGTGATTTTAAGAAAGTATTGTACGAAACAATTTTTGATTAAATCAAAAATTGCTTTTAACGTACTATTCACAGG